GCTCGAGCCGCGTCAAAACATTCAGCCAACCTTTGGACTGCAGAAATGAAGAGACACCAAAAATAGGATAAAGTTGCCAGCCGAATAAAACTTGATTTCTATTTAATTAAGATGAAGACCACCCGCGTACATCAAATATTTCATCAGCCGAACTCCAAGGCAGTAAGCCTAGTTCTGGCACTTGTTTGGCAACTTTGGCCCGCAGCTGCCAGATCACAGCCAAACTATCGGGAAGCGAAGCCTAACTTGGGCTCTCGTTTGGCGACTTGGGCCCAAAGATGCCAGATCTCAACCGAACTACAAGGTAGTAAGCCTAACTCTGGTACATTTGTGGCGATATTGGCCCGAATGTGCCAGGTGACAGCCCAACTGTCAAAAAGTGAAGCCTAACTTTGGCATAAGTTTGGCGATTTTGGCCCGAAAATGCCAAAGCTCTGCCGAACTACAAGGTAGTAAGCCTAACCTCTGGCACATCTCTGGCGATTTTGGCCCGAATGTGCCAGGTGACAGCCGAACTGTCAAAAAGTGAAGCCTAACTTTGGCATTAGTTCGGCGATTTTGGCCCAAAAATGCCAAAGCTCTGCCGAACTACAAGGTAGTAAGCCTAACTCTGGCACATCTGTGGCGATTTTGGCCCGAATGTGCCAGGTGATAGCCGAACTATCGAAAAGTGAAGCCTAACTTTGGCATTAGTTTGGCGATTTTGGCCCAAAAATGCCAAAGATCTGCCGAACTACCGGGCAGTAAGCCTAAATCTGGCATTTTTTAGGCGATTTGGGCCCGAAGATGCCAGACGACAGCCGAACTACCCGGCGGCGAAGCCTAAGTTTGGCACTTGTTTGGCGAATTAGGGGCCAAGATACCCAGACTGTTGCCAAGGGAGGCCAGGTTTGGCACTACTTTGGCTTCTTCGGGCTTCTTAATGCCCTAAACTGCCAGACGCAAGCCATGTTTTGGCCCAGAACTCGGTGCTGCCTGGGATGGGAGTACCAATGCAAATAAACGATTTATGTCTAATAGCACTGGCACCACTGATTTCTTAGGAGGCTAGATCGTGGATAGAGGCCTGTATTCTGGGGTCGAGCGGCACCACCGGCAGTCATCGCTTGACACAGCTCAATTTTATTACGTTAGTAAATTGTTCTCTACCATGAAACTTCTATCATGTTTCCGCAAATAACAGTTAATATTGTGGGCAAGAATATTAAACGCGTTAGAATACCAATCTTGTTTAACTAAATGTTGTGTGGTTGAGGGTCCAGGACTACTTTGTTGGGCGTTAACTGTTATGTGTTTAATGAGACAAGGGCTACCGAGAGTTATTGTGGAGTCATCCGTGATTTCGGAGTCATCAAAGCTCAGCAAACGATAAGTTAGAATGCCTTTACTGGGGATTTTGCATCGTTTTGACCGCTTGTACATAGTGCTTCATGGTGGGAGCTTTTTCTTTGAACTCCTGTGCAGGGCTCCCGTGACAAACTGAAACTCGGAGCGTGCCGTTCAGTCGCTCGACGTGCCATTTATTTAGCAACCGAAGCAAGCGACGTCGGTAAAGTCAATCGTGCTCCGGCCAATTTTTTTTTTAATCGATGTTCAAACGCTTGACGAATGTCTATTTGATCTCCAAGAACCCGACATAATCATCGCAGCACGTCATAAAATGCTCGCCCTCGAGCACCGCGTACAAGCTTCCAATTTTCACGTGTTTCTCCCTTAGACTTGCGTGTATTGCCTCATGATGTAAAAGGCCAAAGCAACAAGGACGAAAACATAGGGAGTAGTAGACAGGACGCGGCATATTGCCTGTCGTCAAGCAATGGCCGCCGGTGAGGCCAGTGACGGGCTCCCAATTCGCGATACAGATTTGCACTGTGAGAGTTCTAATGCATTACACCCGCCGAGTGCTGCACGGAGAACAGGCTCCGAACGAACTTGCCGAATGCACCCAGTGCAGACTGATGCTGTCGCCATAGATATTGTAGAAAAGTACCGACCTCAAACCGAAACTAGCGCCTTTTTGTTCGACGTGATGGGTGGGAATGCGAGAGTGCAGTCGCTGCCATCGTTTAAACGTTGGTTGCTGCAACGTGGGACTTACATTTGCGATGACTTCCACTTAAGCAACTCGGCAGTCAGAGATATCTACAGACGGCGTAAGTTTCCGAAACCAGTTGACTACAAAAACAGCATACGCTTGAGGAAATTGATGGCACTGTACGCGCAAGAGCTTGCTTCGTTTTAAGCATAATATTATGAGTGAATAACTGAAAGGATACGACTTAAATCTAGTTCTTTGGAAGAGCTAGCAATACGTTTCGTAAGTCTTTTTATTTCCCTGGCATTGAGAACGAGAGCTTTCTCAAAACAAAATATGACGGGGCGAGATAGCTGCCGTTCAAATATGACTTTGCTTGAGTCTCGGGCAACGTCTCCATGTTTAGCCTTCCCGGACGCTGAGTGAATCCGTCGCAGGTTTTTGCTGTGGGAGCTTTGTCGAAAAATGTTGCACTTTTCACCCATACACAAATGATGCTAGATCTCGCGGCCCCTGTGGTTGTCCTGGGCCTTTCATTACACACTGGTAGGTTTCAGCGTCTGTACGGCTACAAAACGACTCAAATTTCGCAAATAAAAGACGGGCCGTCGATTCCTTTCTTCGTGAAATATCAGACGCTTACAATTCAAGCTCGCGTTTGAGTTTGTGGCCCGCGGGACGCGATTTCGAGCAGAAAACGAACTTTTTCTTTCAGTTCCGCTGTGCGAATGCCTCATCGTAGCAGACGAACTCTCGTCGTCTGCTCTCGCTCCTCGCCTGGGCGAGGCATGACGGGATTGTCGGCGCTAGAGAGCCCAAAGACGACGTACAGCGAGCGGCGTGAACGCCCGCCTCCCCGCGCTGTCTCGTGCTCTCGTTCACCGCCTAGGGATCGCGGGGGATTTTTCGTCAAAAGTTGCGAAGTTGAGCGCGCGCAGGAAGGAGGAAACTTTGCGGCGTTCTTTTGGTCACTCCCCCCGCTACGTCAAAAAGCGAAGAATGTTTTGCTCCACGAGTTTAGCTACCCAGGATGATAAGAAAAATAAAACAAGGTCACGTAACATTGAAGTAGCAGAAGAACAAAATTAGTCATGAATAGTTGAAACAGTAGGTACGTAAGTCTTCTTTATCCGATGCGGTGTCTTCCCGAGTTCAAACTATCCAACTTTTCCTCTTATAGAAATGTATGGGCGCTCGCCGGGACTTTTGAGCACGATCGAATTAAACGAAAAGTCGAATCAACTGAGGTCGAACTAAAAAAAAGTTTGCTGTAATGTGAAAAAATAGGGGATGGGCCCTTGTCCGGTCATATACTTTACATATCAGTGTACTGCGCGTATTTCCTCAGATCTTGTAAATTTGGGTGGGGGCGCTAAACGTGGAATGGATGGATGCACGGTATTCTACGGGAGGACCCATTGTTCCCATCGAAATTTTTTGAAAAACACAAGTTTTGAATAAGATACGTGTTCTTGCCGAAACTTGGGCGGAAAATGAGGGTTCGGCGATGCGTGGTTTACTTTGGCAGTTTTAAAAAAAAAGACATCTGAAATGTACAGGGGAGAACACCCTGTACATTTCGAATAGTTGCCCTCTATTGTTCAAAAACGGTGTCTTTTTTTAAAGCGATTTATTCGAACACCGAATGCCAAAGCAACATGCGCGCATTTCGGCTCCTCTAATGATGCGCAGCCACTCTGGTAAATGTGCCCAGTTTCAGCTTAGGATAAATGTTGCTACCAGCAATCATTGGAGCTCTGGAAACGCCTAACCATGCACTTTCCCAAATGTGACGCTCGCCCTGCATTGGCTCTGATGGCTCGTAGCATTATCTGCGGTGGGAGGGGAGTATGGCATCACCCCTGCACAAAGTAGGCTTTTGGAGCGTGAATGTTCCACAGTTACTTTATGCAATGTTGGCTCTGTTGCCGTTTCCTCAACTCCCTAGATTTGTCTGGTTTGGCCCGAAAAAGGCTCTAGCGTTCTGCAGCCAATAAGATACGATAGGAATTGTTGCTACTACAGTTGAACCCCGCAATAACAAAACAACCGGGAAAGTAAATTTTTTTTGTTCTCGCTAGAATTTTGCTGTTGCGAAAATGGACGAGAAAGCGCACCTATTACGTTCCATGATGCTGTCCTCTGATTTCAGAATCGTAGAAAATGAGCTGCACTGGGTGCTGAAGTCCTCCGCAATATCGGACTTTTTTCCGCCTTTCGCAACTTCGGCTATGATTGCAGACTTCTCCTGAAGCGTCAAAACTCGCGCTTTTTAACGGGAGGCGGCATCTTTCCGACAGGCCACATAAAAGGTAGTAAACAAGGAGTGAGCGATCTCTGAGTGCACGCGGCAGACGGCTAAATGGCAGCGGGCGGCCGGCGGTGTCGTTGTGTGAAACGTCGGATACCTACGTAGTTGCCAGCAGATGGGCTGGCAAAACAGTTTTCAACAACCAAAAAAAAAATCTCGTCGCCTTTGTTATAATTGTTCGACTGAATGCAAACAGCAATGGCCGCGCCGATGCTTGTTGAAAATGTATGTGCCTGACTTGTCGGATGAGTGTGCTGCTCCCTTCTTATACTTCTGGGTTTCCAACTGGCTCATGTCCCGAAAAACTGTTGCAGATCACTACCTGAAACTTTTGTTGATGTGGGACTGCTTTTTTAAAAGCTCTTCGCTGTTGATAGGGTGCAAATGTATTGAACTCTATGGACGTTTGCCGAGAATTTCGTTCTTGAGGAGTTCAGCTGTAGTAACTACATTGACAACCCGCGAGAAAACTAGCTCCATTTGTGTAGTTGGGACGCAGCTCTACGGCTCGGAGAGACCCGGTTAAACGTTGATTGAGGAAGACCCTGTGAAGCTTTTTGCCCCTAGTGTGGCCATTGGGTTGGCCCACGAGCACGTTTTGGGTATTCCTGCCACTTGGCACGTGCACGACTGCAAACAAGTTGGGCATTTCAGCTGGATCTGGGGAACGTCATCTCCGCACTGGGCGACGCCTCCGGCAAGATCTCCCACGTCCCGTACCGGGACTCGAAGCTGACCAGGCTACTCCAAGACTCGCTGGGCGGGAACAGGTCAGCTCTCTCGCAAATATTTGACATTGCATCAAATACAGAATTCAATACTTTTGTATTTCGATACTCGCATGTAATGTCGATTAAATGTCAGTAAGTTAATAAATCGCAGCTGGAATTTGTTTCCCCAGAAATGTACATCTTGTCACCGTGGAAGCACAAAGACAACGTCTGCTTCAAAAAGACCTGCATCAAAGTTTTTCCTTGTTAGGTCAATGGCCGAGGTGACCATCTTTGACTATGTGGATCGTTTTCACGACAGCCCTTCATTGCAAAGGGGAAAAGGCAGCACTGCCTCGTTCACGCTAGCAGTGTTGCACGCTAAACACGAAAGCTGTTTTATTGCATGGAAAACAACTACAAATGAAACAATGCCCACCTTGTTCATTTCGATATATGTTGGCAGACTTTTAGGCAAACTGCTGTTTAGAAACGGAGATGCCCTGCCACTTCAGCCTTTCTCCGAGCACGCCAGTGCAAAGCTGCCTGCTTAAGGGGACATGCACCGGGGGAAAGCAGGGATTTTATTAGTTACGGTAACGGAATGAAATGTTCAGTTTATATTTCTTTTTCTTTTACAAACTGTTTTGATATACCTTACTTTTTATGTTCTGGAAGGAATGCACATTATGATATTAGGTTCTCGAGTTTTGTGGTTTCATAAACATTGGATATACTAGCCTTTCTAGAATTTTACATAAATGATATTGATGTAGCCGGTCAATATTGTACATTTACGTTTATTTATATTTACTCTAATTACAAAATGTAATCAGTATCGGACATGAACCCTTAATTATTATCGAAGATTGCAGTCGTCATTTAATTTTTGAGCGGTGTGCCGATACACGTTGGCTCAAGAAAAGTCGATGGCTGCCTCAACATTTTGCCTTGTACAACGTCTGCTACAAAAAGTGGGATGCCGCTTCCATCACCTTTTCAGTTAAAACTCGGCCTAATAAACCAGAGAGGGGGGGGCGGGCCGCAAATTCCTCGGTAAAATGGGGATCTCTTTGGAATCAGAAATGCGGCATGCAGAGAGCTTCGCTGACACCTGAATCCCGAAGGGCTCACGTAGGAGTTCAGTTGGTGAAGGAGCTCCAGGGAAAACGAAGGTTTTTTTCTGACATGGCAATGTCATGGGCAAAGCATGAGACCTAGCAGAGAGGCAAAAAAAGACCTGAAAGGGTATTTCCCAAGAGGGTAGGGACAAGTGTCTCTTTCCGATGCCGAGCATGCATGCTCCACAAGAGCTGGACCGTCGATGTTGCCTAGGCCCCACAGAAGGGTGAACAAATGAAGTGCCTCGAAGTGCCATCTGGTAGAATGGACTAGGAAAAGCTAGTTTGTTTTTTCCTCCTGCAGTCTTATTGCTCACATGCCAGCAACAAAGACGCAGTTTAAACAAACACATTTTTTTTTCGGGATTGCTTAATTAAATCGGGCCGGCGGTCACATTTATGCGGGTATTTTGAGTTCATAAAAGCGTCGAGCCCCAATGGGAATCTGTGGGGGAATTAGAATATGTTAGTTAAATCAGAAATTTTGTAAATTAGTTTTTTTTTAATAGTTGAAAAAGAGATACTCCGAACAGCAAAGAAGGGCTCTGAATTGATTTCAATGGCAAAGACCATTTGTGTGTTTGATAGTGTACCTTGGAACGCTTGTGTGGAAGCCATTTGTAAACCCTGCAGCCGCACCCTGATGATAGCGTGCGTGTCGCCGTGTGACCGGGACTTCATGGAGACCCTGAACACGCTGCGGTACGCCAACCGTGCGAAGGACATCAAGAACAAGATCACGGTGAACCAGGACAAGTCGAGCCAGACTATTTCCCTGCTCAGGCGGGAAGTGCAAGACCTGCAGCTGGAGCTCATGGAGTACAAGCAGGTAACTTCAAAGATCAACCTAGATTCTCTCTATCGAAGAATGGTTAAATATTTGATTGGTATGCCATTTTTTCGTGGGTACCGTATTCACTCGCATAGTGAATACACTTTTTTTTCCCGAACAATTGACACATATCTGGGAGGGGGGGGGGGGGGCGTTCATTGCACGGGGTAAAATATTTGCATTTACACACTTTGTGCAAATGTCATATCAGGTGCCCATATGACACGGCAATGTACTGTGGCACGTCTCCAGTGATGGTGGCGCACCCACGGCTGGTCGTGGGCGCACCACAGTAACCATGATTTATAAATTGCAAACCCTTTTAGGGCGTTTTCGGGGTTCCTTTTGCCAAAGGAAAAGCGCCCTACGAAGCTCACTCAGCACGAAAAGCAAGGCGACCGTTCTTAGGCGATATATATTGCTAGTATCCGGCGGGCACACTAAGGTGTAATCCGCGATTACGCATATAAGAACTTGTACGAAGTCCGCCCGCCAAAGCCCGCCCGCACGGATCAAGTTTCATTCATGGACTGGCTACCAGACACTCTCAGCCTACAGCGCAGCGTGTACCTTACTGTGCCATTTTGTTACGGATTAAATAAATGCATTTAAATCAACAACTAAATACTATCAGTTTACTATCAGTTTGTGGTTGGAAGGTGGAAAGGAAAAAAAAAAGCTGCCACATGGCTTGACTAGTCCCGAGCCACCTGAATAGCAGTTGACACGCAGGCACCAAAGTATTTACGCATGATTAGGAAAAAAGTGAAAACATGAGAGAACACGAGAGAAAAATTGATTAATGTCATTATAGAATGCAAATTCAGTTTGAACAGACTTGCATTAGGAGACAGAGCAACTTTAACCCCCAAAAAGTAACACTTTTCTTCTATTCATTTTGGTTTGAGATGAGTACCTCCACACTTGGCTTCTATTAGGTTTGGTTTGTAAATGAGAATGATTGATTCCCTTAAGCTGCTCACTGACAGCTTGTTAAGTTCTCTATTTTTCCTACTGAACTGATTCAGTGTAGTCGGAAGGGTGTATGATGTAGTGTATTGTCCGTAAGTAGTCCTAAACAATGGTACTTCCCATGGTTTACAGTTCGCGTTGGATATGCATATACCTTTTTTGTTGGGTTTGCTAAGTCTTAGAGATAATCCTGAGATTGATTTTTTTCTACCATATATTTCTAACATAATCAACATTCGTACAAATCAAAAATTTTCATTACTCCAAGTGGATTGAAAACAATGTTCACTGGATAATCCAGCGTAACATGAGAAATGCTTCTTAATATGTTGTCTTTTTGTAATATAAATACCCAGAGTATCTGATATTAGGCCTAACCACTTTCACGATTTCACTGTCTGAAAGCGGACCACACACGACTGCTTATTTGTTGACATGAATGCATCCGATAGGTGAAGAATTACCGGGGTTCGGCAATTCCTCGACCCAAGCTTCGTCGAGTGTGCGCCACACTCGTAAGGACCGCAACTACGCACTCGCGGCCTTTACGAGAGCGGCTTGGCTTGGCTTGACTCAGCCTGACCGCTTGACGGCAAAAAAAAAACTGGCTTGGTGGCTCGCTAAATTAAACGCAATTCGAGACTCGCGGATCCCAAAGTTGGGGGTGCATTGATTACGGGAGGGGAAAAGAAAAGTTAAAATATTGATGACTTTTGTGGGGGGTTCATTATACGAGTAAATACGGTACATATTGTAATGATAATTCTCCTCAGTTACTTAGTCAATCCATCCTGTTCTCACTTCCGGTCGTCTTCCTCCTCCTTTCTTTATCCTCATAGCACCCTTAAAGGGGCACTCAAGTGGTTTTTGGGGAAGCTACTTTTTGATGCGATGGCGTTAAGGAAGTGTCGGTGAATGAGTATTTTCAGTTTTACAAGGCAGAACCGCTTAATAATCACGCGGGAATAAAATACGTTCCTGCGCCGAGCAAAGAAATTATCGTATGTTTGAAAATTTTGGTGGTCTTTGTAAAGTTTCGCTAAAGAAACAATTTTCAGTTCATTTAGATATGTTGCGCATGATAATTTCACAAGACGTAAAATATTTCTAGCTTAGAATATGTGATACTGCAATTATCGTTTCACAAACAAGCGTCTACGTTTTCTCCTTGCCTTCTTCCGTGGGGGGTGAATTTCCCGTTTCTTCAAGATGCGCGGAAGCGAACGTGTCGTGAACTCTTTCCCTCCGGGTTTTCGGGAAGTGCCTTTGTGTCTCCAGGCCCGTTCACACACGTGCGTCCGTAGCGACCGCAACGACTGGAACAACCGAAACGACCGTTGCAAAGGTCTGCAAACGTCAGTTGTCATAGCGACGGAGGGACGCACGTATGTGTCGTTCACGACGCAAGGAGTTGGAGCGAGCCCACTTTCCCCGCTGCGTTGAAAACAACCGCAACGACAGACCGATCACAGGTCGAGGAGAACTGGTTGCGCGCGTTGTATGCCGGTCGTGCCGGTCGCGGGCCGGCTCCTTCTATCTGCAAACATGGCGCCGGTGGTGATCGTCGACGTGGACGGCGTGGTGAAAGTTTATCGTTCCGCGTAAAAGCGCTATCCTTGACTGTGATTTTTTGTCGTGTGTTGCTATGCTAACCCAGCACGTACTAGAAGGGAAGATCCACCTACTCGTGCGCCTATGTCGTGGCGGCAATCTCAAGTTGGCAGAAACGCCCGTGTCGTCGTGTTTGTTTACTTCGACTACAGTGATGATTTCTAAGCATTTGTGTCCTCGAACATCGTTTGGATTTCTTATTTGGAGAATTTCATGCATGTGCTAAATTTGAAGGTATTACTGGTGCGTACCGCACAAAGGATGAGAATTTTCACACGTTTTAATCACCGGAGAAAAGTGATTAGTGTTAGCAATCCTGAACGCTCGCGACGTCTATCTGATCACGAAATCGTATTTCTGCGTTGCTATATCGCTGCAAAGATTACATCATCTTTTATAATCGTAGGAAAGGCGTGTGGCGATATTTGTACTATTGTCAAAGTCGTGTATTAGAGTCGTGATCGTCCAAGACGACGTACTGCATCTTTTTCTTTTCTTTTTTTCATCCACTGTACCCTGCAAGTCTATCATGAAAAAAATAATAATAATAAAGCTTTAGGCTATCGAACACTGTGTCTATATTCTGCTACGGCATTGAGTGGCAGTGCGTCCCCTTTTTAGAGGCGCCGCTGACACAGCTGACGGCGGCGTAGAAGCGGTCGCCGTGCTGACGACCTGTTGCGCCTGTTACAGTGGTTGCAGGTGTGTGTGCATGCGGCACAGAGCCGTCGTTCCGGTCGCTGCGGTTGCAACGGACGCAGTCGTAGTTGACGCGCTCGTTGCACATGTCCGAACCAGCCTTCCCCTGTCCTTCCGAGGCGAAAGTCAGCGTGGCGACATCGTTTGACATCATGTACCAGAGGTTACGCTGCAATGCCAAACGTTGGTTTGGTTACGACTTGCCCCAACCGCAAATCGAAGAACGCCCGAAAAGGTCTGCGTTTCGTCGTCCTCGGAACCCGAACACAACTCCGAAGCGCTGCTATCGTCCACATCGCTCGTTGGAGTGGCGTCATAGGAAATCATCCCCAGGTCGGCTGTCCGCCGAAGAATTTCAACCTCTAACGGCGTCAGGTCCTCGAGCGTAGAGAACTCCGCCATGATCGAAGCTCGAATGTCAAAGAGGTTCGGCCGGTGCGGCTACCTCGGAATCACTGCGCGACGGAACGTCGTTCAACGCCATTAGCCCGAGATCGTTTTGATATGCGAGCAGTGACCAATGAAAGTGGTTTCGCTTTCGGATGGATCCGAAGTTTGGCGGCCATCAATTACATTTTTATTAAAGAAATAATCACCGTATGACTATATTTTCTGGTTATTAGAGATACTTAGGGCGTCTAGATTCAGTTGCCATCATCAAAAACACAAACTTAAAAACCACTTGAGTGCCCCTTTATAAGGAAGAAACAAAGTTTCTCTTTCAATAAAAAAGTTAATGTGATCGTAGTTCCGTCCGCAAAAGTTGTCCACATTCTTTACGGAACTCTTGGCGCGCTCGTGCGAGTTTTAGATGCGTTACGTGCTCAAGAAAGCAGCGAGTGTGCCAGGTCTTTTGTCAGTAATGTCCTCGAGGTAGCAGGCGACAGGCCCCCTCCGTTTCTAGATTCGATAAGGCAATCGGGGAAGGAGCAGCTCTCCTGACAGACTGCCAGGTCCGTCTTGCCAGAACTCCAATTTGAAACTCGGGCATATTAGGGTCACCAGCTTCTGACATATTGCCAGTTTCTTCCCGACTTGGCCGAATGGCATCCCGTCCCTGTCTACGAATTTCCTGGAGTGAAGCGCGCCGAGTGTCCGTGCAACTTTGTGTCCCGTTTAGCTCAAGGCTTGTCTCAAAGGCAGCGTTGCGTCACGACCGTGTAAGACTCTGAACGGTACTTCTTTTATAGTTTCTTGCTGCGATGTGTTCAGTGCAAACATTGCCTGCTGGATAAACTTGCCGCCCAATTAGTATGCATGGAGTTTACATAGGCGGCCAAGATATCGGTAAGTGTACGGTTGTATTTCTCAACTCAACCGTTCGTTTGAGGATGATACAGATGTCTGAGAATGTCGTATGCCGTGCCTCGCCGGACAGTTTCTGAAAAGGTGAGACATGGACGGTGCACCACGGTCTGGGATCATTGAGCGTGGTGTCTTGGAACAATGTTGACCTCAATAAACTCCTCTGGGGAATCTGCGGTAGCAATATTCTATACACTGTATTCAAATATCGCTGGAATATTAGATAATCTTATGCCCAGGCATGCTCAAATAGTGGACTTTAAGTTTCTGGCATATAGTGGTTTTGACCGAATATTTTCTAAATGATTATGGAATAGTTGCTCCAAGCTGGGCAGCGCCGATAGTCGGGCGAGTTGGTGCTGAACCTGAGAATACACGGTAGTCCTCCGAGAGAAGGACAAAAGGAGAAG